TACATATATTATTTGCGCTTTAATAATATGTATTAAAAAAAGTTTCAATAACCCGATATCAAAACAAGAAAAGAAAAAGTTTTTTTTTCTTTTTTTTCTTTTTTTTCATTTTTTTCGTTTTTTTTTTTTTTTTATTTTTTTATTTTTGTTTTTTTTTGTTTTTTTTTTCTTTTACTTTTAGTTGTGTTCACTTTCCTCATTTTCCTCACTTTCCTCTTCCTAAATTTCTAGTTTTTCGGTTCTAATAAACTTTGTAAGAAGATTTCGGTGTTCACAAGAGTCTCTATAATTTCAATATCATCAGCGTTAGGATCTTGATAGTTAACATCAGATGCGCTGATATTGGACTTTTGACGACTAGAAACTCCAGGAGTTTCTCTTTCCGATATTAAAGAAGGATTCCTATAGGGTTCTAAACCAGAAAAAGTATATATAAATAAAATTACTTTATATAGCTTGTATCTATTACTATTTTCCGATACATACCAACAATTTCCTTCTGCTTTCCTTTATCAATATCAGCTCCTTCTTCGTCAACTTCCATTTGCTTTTCTTTATCAACTTCGGCTCCTTCTTCGCCAACTTCTTTCTGCTTTTCTTTATTAACTTCAGCTCCTTCTTTGCCAACTTCCTTCTGCTTTCCTTTATCAATATCGGCTCCTTCTTTATCAACTTCCATTTGCTTTTTTTTATCAACCTCAGCTTCTTCTTCGCCAACTTCCTTCTGCTTTCCGTTATCAACCTCGGCTTCTTCTTCGCCAACTTCCTTCTGCTTTTCTTTATCAATATCGGCTCCTTCTTTGCCAACTTCCATTTGCTTTTCTTTATCAATTACAGCTCCTTCTTCGCCAACTTTCTTCTGCTTTACTTTATCAACTTCGGCTCCTTCTTCGCCAACTTCCTTCTGCTTTCCTTTATCAATTACGGCTCCTTCTTCGCCAACTTCCTTCTGCTTTCCTTTATCACATTCTGCTCCTTCTTCACCAACTTCCTTTTGCTTTTCTTTATTAGTTTTTTTAATAATTTTATTAAATGTTGCAAAGATTGTTGGTTGGACAAGTGCTTTTTGTCAAATTTAAATTTAATATTTTAATATGATCTTTAGCTGGATTACATTTAGGGATGACAACGGCTGGCTATTTTCGGCTTAGCCGGTCTGCTAAGCCGAAAATAGCTAGCCGTTATTATTCCTAATTATATCTAATGTCCCAATAGTCATTGCATTGACAGGCAATTTATCTAACATTACACAAGGTGATAATTTACTAATAATATATGTTAAGTAAATGGCTTGTCAGTAAATGACTATCAGGAAGATGAGAAACAATACTATACCTGTAGAAAAAGTAGTTCTAATTGGAACTCTTTTTGTTTGAGATCGCTTCGGGATGTTACTGGGCACAGCAATAGGCTCGTATTCTTCATCCGGCTCATCAGGATTTTCTTTATTGGGGGGATCATCAGGATTATCGGGGTTATCATTATTGCTATCGACGCTGTCTGTATTGGTATCGATATCGGTAGATTGGGATATGAGCCAGGCAGATGCATCAGGAGGTGGTGATGAAGTTCTATCTAATAAACCCAGAGCATTTCTCCAGCGATATCTTGTGCATTTTTTTTTTACGGACGAAAATTCTTCGGCCGACCACAAAATATCTTTCAACTGGATGTAAATTGAAAAAAAATTACTATTAAAAAAAAGAAA